AATGGCATTTCGGGAAGCATTTGTAGATAAGGCAAGAGGTAGTAATTGGTGGTGAACGGGGGAAAGGAGAGCATATCTTAGGTTATTGGCGTGCTTCTATGTATATTTTTTTGATCGACTACCCCTATTAGATACCTATACCTAGGTAAGATGCCCAGCTTCTCGAGATCAGATGATGATATAACGATGCGAATTAACATTGGACGATAACAAAAGCTCTCTACATACGTGTGGCTCTTGAGCTTACGACAACTAGGTAGGCAATGGTCAATTTAAGCGAATTCGAATCAGATCATGACAATCTAGGTACTTAAATACAATTCTCTGTGCCACGTTGGATACATTTAGCACGATTCCAACCCGGGGCTGTCAAATCTAACGTGGAATATGGAACGCGCCAATAGAATCATTTGCTGTTATGCTATCATTCTTTTGGGTTTACATGTTTATTTTTACCCAACTTAGCTATATTTTATCAAGGTAGGTACGGTTTCATTCCAAGTTTAAGAATCTTTGTATACAAGATATAGGCTAAACACACACGGTTATACTTAAGATAGAATCCCATTTGAAAAGTTATATGTACAAGGGAGCTCGAAGGCTATAACCTAAGTATTCATAGATTTATGAAAGTTTAGAGATCTAGAAGTACAATGGCTACCGGTGAGCAAAATATATAAAACCAATTTATACATGTATGCCCCTGACAGCGTATGCCTATAGTTCTACATTAAACAAAATTAATTGTTACTGTCACGGTGAGGGCTCAAGCCAGGTACAACCAGTGTATTACTATAGGGGAGGGTAAGACATACATAGCTGCTTAGTCCAGACTAAGTAAAGGGGGAGAAGCAGGCCCTTATATAGGGTGGAGGGTCACTGAGGTAGGGGCGTGGCCCCTACCTAGGACAGTGCCATGACACGTTAACTCACCATGTCCATGTCACTTGGGTTTAGTCTGGCCATATATAACCAATGTATTTCTCAGGGTACCCGTTGTCCGACACCACCAAACGCTTATCATTGCAACAGGGAACGAGAGAATGAGTACTCTTATATATGTGAGCAAGGCCTGGGTTAGGGCTACAGATCTGGCGGGGCTTATGGAACGACACGGTAGCCATAGGTAATACCACCCACCTTCTCACGACCTAAAGGTGATGTTAGGCCTATAGTACTAGTGGCTCATTACATGGCTTTTATTAATATAATTATTGGTTCTGATCAAGCTGATGTAGTGGCGACTCTCCTAATAAAGCGAAAAGTCAATATCAAAAATAGTAGGAGAGAGGGATTTGATTCTAGCTATGGTCAATAGCTAATAAATACGAAACCAAGCAAATATATAAAACCTCAAATTCCATTGCTATAGTCTAAGGAAGCAGTGCCACTGGAGACTATTCACTTTGGATTTCTATCATATTCAAGTTACCAAATTCTTCGGTTACTTTCTAAGTATTTTCGGGCCTATCAAATTTGCATCAATTGATCAGGTGTTCTCATAACGTCGATAAGACGTTCAACTTAGCAGAGCTTGGATAGACTCTAGGGCTCAATGTGTCTCTTAAATACGAGACTCTCAGGACTTGGGAATTGAAATTTCAGAAGCAAGGGAACGGCAACACTATTGAATTTTCCCACATTCTATTATCAATCAAAATAGATCAACTTTGATCAACAGCAGCTCCGGGTCTTGGACTAGCACAAGCATCAGTGGTTTAGTGGTAAAATCCATCGTTGCCATCGATGGGCCCCGCGTTCGATTCGCGGCTGATGCAGAGATTTCTCTTTTTAATTTTGGTTTGCTCTTTTTCTACAATTGATATATGGCAATTCACGTTCTTTTTCCAATTAGCCAACCAAATTTGTTTCTTCAAGTTACTTTTAGTTCAGCGCTGTAGGGTTCTTCACTTATGCCTGGCACTCCTTCGTTTAGCATAATATGTACATGTAAAAGCGAAGATACCCATTGAATCTATATATACACCTACTACCTACAGGGTACATCAATACTCCAACTGAGATTCTATATAGAAGCTGCATGTTAATTAAGCAAAGAGGGGATTCCCACGTGACGGCACTACAATCGAGTAGCAGCCACTAACTGGTTATTATCCGGTTATTGTGTGCAAAGCTGAGATAACCCGCTTCTCTCCAAATTCAAGACAATCAACCTCCTCTTGTTCATGCTGGACTTCACCCAGCAGGCTCTGCTTCCATTTCCTGTGCACACATAAAATACATACCTCTGGCAACTCGACGAAAGATGCAGTTGAAAAATATTCAACGGCTCGAGCTGCCGGCTGTGGCCGACATGCATGTGCATTTGCGACAGGGCGGGTTAATGGATCTGGTTGTTCCCACCGTCCGCAGTGGTGGAGTTGATACGGCATTTGTGTATGAATAGCTCATATCCCTTCCCGAAGAAAAGACTGAATGAACTAACCCTAAGACACAGCATGCCAAATCTTGTACGCCAAAAAAATCTTGAAGACAATTTACCATTTCATGATTCCGCGCTAATATGACTGAGGATAGGTCCCTCCTCTGACGTCGGTTGAGAAGGTATGTCTGGTATATATAAGAAAAAGTGTCTTTTATATATATCTACATCCCCTTTAAGAACTCATAATAGACGGTCTATATAAATAGCTGGCTAATTATCCTAAAGGTACTCGAATACCGTACACAATTACAGGCTATAACGAAAGATGTCAACTTCCTCATGTCCCTCTATGTTAGTGCCCCTGAATATCTCGCCTGTCACTTGGGCGATATGATCGGTTCTGTTGAATCTAACCTTGGCCCAGCTTCATCCTTCTGTCACCCCCGATGTAATCGCCCAGGCAGCGGCGGCCGGAATCGCTGGCGTGAAGCTGTACCCTCAAGGTGAAGTCACACGAACCCCTATTTTGGCCCCTCACTATGACACTAACACACTTTAGGGGTGACCACCAATTCCGAGTCTGGCGTCTCGAATATTGAGGCTTTCTACGATACCTTCTCTGCTATGGAAAAGCATGACATGGGTACGTCAGCATCAACAGTAATGATACGACATGACCACGCATAATGGCTTCTCATCCAACTTGTCTTCGAGGTTATAACAAGGACATTGTCCTTGTGTACCTTGGTACTGGGAAAGCTCTTACAAAGAAGAAGCTGACAAGGAACCATGTCTGAAAAGTGCTCAATATCCATGGAGAGGTGCTAGAGTCGCTTGCCCCAGCTGGCACAACGCTAGAAGAGGCCTTCCTTCCAACCCTGAAAACCCTTCACGAGAGATTTCCGAAATTGCGCATCGTCGTACGTATCCCTCTAAACCCCTCCCCATCCCTAAGCAACGACTGACTCCAGACCTCACAGCTCGAGCACTGCACCACAGCAGCCGCTGTGGAAGCCGTGAAGGCCTGCGGCCCCACCGTCGGTGGTATGACTCTCCCTCCCCCTCTCCCCTCCCTTCTCCTTTTTCCGATCCCGAGCACCCGCAAACGCAACAACGGGGACATGTCCGTGACTAAAAGGCCACCGCCACAGCAACCATCACAGCCCACCACCTCTACCTGACCGAGGCCGAGGCCTGCTGCGACCCGTTCGCCTTCTGCAAGCCGATCCCCAAGAAGCCCGCCGACCGGGACGTGCTAGTCAAGACGGCCCTCAGCAACGACCCCAAGTTCTTCTTGTACGTTACCATCACCAACCCCCTTCCCCCCCTCTAACAGACAAAACCCGCCCATCGCTAACCCCTCCCCATCCTCCGCAGCGGAAGCGACAGCGCCCCCCACCCCCTGGGCTCCAAGACCTCGGCGGCGCCGGGCCAGGCCCCGGCCGGCGTGTACACGCAGCCGTTCGCGGCGCAGCTCGTGCTGCTGGCGGTGGAGGAGGCGCTGGGGCGCGGGGTGCTGGCCGACGCCGACGTGACGCCGGAGGCGCTCGCGGGCTTCCTCAGCCGCCACGGCCGCCGCTTCTACAAGCTGCCCGAGACCGACGCTGCGGCGACCATCGTGCTCGAGCGCAGGGGCGAGAAGATCCCCCCGACTGTGCGCAGCGCCGACGGCGCCGTCGAGGTGGGCGTCTCGCGCGCCGGCGCTGAGGTCTTCAGCTTGGCGTGGAGGGAGGCGTAGGATGATAGATGGGATAGTAAGGAGATGGATGGATGGGGATGGGGGATTGGGGATTGGGGATTGGGATGGATGGTATGGCACCTCCTTCTCCCCTGAAATAGGTGGCGAGGGGTTGCTTTTATAGCTAGCTTGACGCCGGAGGGCTATGAAACCGCGAAACCTTCTGTGTACCTAGTTTATTTGCAGATTGGCTGAAGGAATAACATCCGAAGTAAAAAAAAAAAGGCAGCCAATGTGACCGAATTGGAAGAAAACGAGAAGACTACCTAAGAATCATACAAGGTTAAATACGAAGGAAAGCCTAGTACGTCAAAGCTGGTAAAGGTAGAGTAGCAGAATGAACTTTGATTAGCTTCTAGAAACGGTGTATCTGGTGAGTTGCAGCCATATTACATATACAGGGAGGAAGGACTACGTAGACATCCCGGTATGTACATAGGTAATAAAGTCCTCAACTAGGTGGGTAAGGGTTTGTCTATATGTGAGCGACTTGCTCCTCAGGCTGAAAGGAACTCACCTAGGTAATAGGCTCGAAATTATTGAGCATGAGGCCTCCCAAGTAGGGTTTCACTCTTTCACTACCTAGCTAATGACCTCTAAGGGGTGCTGTATGATGAGTGTGTGTGTTGTACGTAGTAGGTACGTGTACGTCTCTTCCAAAACAAGAAATGTTAAAATTTAAAATAAAAAAGTATTCGTAAACTTCTAACCTTCTGTACACGTTTCCCCTAATGCTGGGTATATGTTTTCCCAGTGTCCTAGGGGAGGTCGCAACAAAATTTGGGTTATTGTAAACATGACTTGAAAAAGAGAAAAGATGGAAATGGTGAAGAAAATCAAAAATAAATAAAAAATAAATCATGAATTCGATTGTAATGCCCACTACTGGAGTCGAACCAGTCGCCTCCTCATATCTCCAGTTCGTATCCATATTGTTGGACATCTTACTAGTGAGGCGCTCTACCGCTGAGCCAAGCGGGCCAGATATTTCATATGTTTTTTCGGTTCTGTTATTGGTATACATATAGGCAGGTAATAAGAAAAAAACAAATGGAGCACAATGTGTATTTGTGGAAGTTTTCTTTTTTTTCCTCCCCTAACCTAGGTAATGCTACCGGACTTGCTGTGTTGTGGGCTCCTCGTATTGCTGAGTAGCGAATGGGGATTAGCCTATTCCGTATGGTTTAGGTTAGATAATGGGGAAGAGAGGGGGGGCCGGCGGCCTCGAGATTAGGTAGGCGGGAGTAGGTAGGGTTGTGGGTATGTAAGTATGGGCGGTGTATATGTGCGTATGGAGCCTAACTATGTACCTACCTAGCTGAAATAGGAGAGCAAGGTATATCCTATAATCTAATATGTGAGACGAAAGTCTTTTTGTTCACCTTTAAAAGAGTGTTGATGGCTGATCAAGTTAGGGGTTAAGTGCTGAAAGTTGCACCAGATGGTTGTATAGTGTATAGGCTGTGCCTTGCACTACCTAGAGGTAGTGTAGAATTTACATATAGTGGACGATGTGGTGCTTGTCTTGAACGAACTGCCTACATCAAATGCACCTTTACTTGACAAGAAACGCTGGAATACAACATATGCTTTCTAGTTTATGTACTGAAGTCATGTAATAATTACACCTGCATTCCTTCTATTGAGGCTTTCGTATAGCGATTGATCTGTAGAAGTGCTCAGGAACCGTGTTTCTATTCCCAAAGTCTATGCACAATCAGGCCACTTTCATAGTTCTCTATACATAGAAAACCCTTTTTAGCAACCAAACTATTTTGTTTAGCCTGCATAATCAAACAGGTCGCAACGTGATGCACCTGTATTGTATCTATCGTTTCTGTTCGTCCCGTTCCCCCATCTATAAGAACGCCGAAACAAACCCTTCATGTTATCTATAAATATCGACTTTGCCCGACTCGCCTAACCTGCGTTTCTACCAAACATCTAACCCAGAAAGACCCCGAACTGGTTCAGCTGAAAGTCATCCAGTCGCAGAATTGCGATGCATCGTCGAAAGTGTCGTAAATCCCAATCGTTAACAACCAGTTTCTTCCCATCATTCATCATCATCTGTATCCGGTGGGTGAGGTGTGCCCTTGGGACTATTCAGCCACTCGATGTGACGTAGTCTACGGCGGACTTCTTGCTCCTTGAGCTCCTTCTTGGTCTTCTTTCTCTTCTTCTTCGCCTTGAACTTCAAGGGCGTATTATCTTCGGCGCCGCTGTTCACTGCACTGGTAGCAGCACTGCTGACTGCTGTACTGGTGACGCCACTGGTGAGCCCACTGTTAGGCTTGCTGCTATCCTCGAACCGATCAAGAGCGATAGCTGCATTTCCCTTCATGGTCATCCGCCCGTCATTGATGTGCCACTGCTCACTGGCAAGCGCGCCGACAAACTCTTCGTTGTGGGAAATCATGACAACGCCACCCTTAAAGTCTCGGATAGCGACGGCAAGACCACCGAGGGAATCGCGGTCCAAGAAGTTGGTCGGTTCGTCAAGAACAAGTAAATGGGGGTTGTTCCACATGGCGCCAGCAATGACAACCTTGACCTTCTGACCTCCTGATAAACTGCCAATCTCGTTGTGGTTGGCAATCTCAGGGTCGAGGCCAAGATCCTCAAAGTGCTTAGAAATAACAGTTGGCTGGAGCTCACGGTATCCGAGACCTTCGCGGGATGCTTCATGATCATCGAATTCCTGAACTAACTTGTCGAAGCCCCATTCTAGAAGTGTCTCACGTGATACCTGCGAGTTGAATTTGGGCAGCCAGGCTCTCCATTTACTGCGAGTTATTAGCAGATGTACGTAGGCATGTTAGATGTCATCAAACTTACACTTCGTATTGGAAGGTTTTCTTCCATTTCTGTCGACCCACAAGAGCTTCGACTTGTCGTCCTCCCTTGCCATCGCCTAGGTCAATCAGCTTGTCCATCTGCTCTTTATCCTTGTCCGAAAGAATTCGAGTCTGCTTCAGGAACACCTCGCGATCGTCGCCATTGGCATATCGCCATTGCAGATATTGGTTAGGAGTCTTCTCGAGGTGCATCTCGACGTGCTCCAGGGCGTGCTGTTTAATGTAGCCGATTCGCAAATTGGGGTGCTTCTCGACCCTTCCAGTAGTTGGGACCACTTCACCTGTCAATATCTTGATCAAAGTGGATTTTCCAGCACCGTTCGGACCAATGACTGCTACGCGCGAGGAGAGACTCAGTTGACACGAGACATCGCTGAGTGATGGCTTCGGCGCTTTGGGATACTGGTATGAAACGCCTGTCATCCGGATGATGGCACGGGTCTGGGACTTGACACCCGTCAAGATACCTGGTGGCGGAAACTTGAACTGTACGTTACTGGCGGAGAGGGTGTAGTATGCCTTGGCCTCGGGGCGGACCTGGACAAACGCAGAGAGATTACCCTTGAAATGACCAAGCTTCTTTCCAGGCTCATAGTGGTAAATGTCAGTTGTGACATTGTCCAAGAAACCGGAGTCGTGAGAGACAATCAAGCTGGTAATATCGGTATGCGTCTTCAAATAATTCTCCAACCATGCGATATTGGCGACATCGAGATGGTTAGTAGGTTCGTCGAGCAGGAGGACATCGGCTTTTTGAAGCATGGCACGAGCCAAGGCCAACTTCATCTTCCACCCTCCTGACAAAGACCCGACCTTTTGGGCCTGTCTTCCCTCAGGACCAGCAGTAAAGCCAAACTCAGCTAAAACCTCCGAGATTCTCTCCCTACCCTCTGAAGCAATTGTCGGATCCTTGACCATGAACTCGAGAATGCTAATGTCTGCATCCTCGCCCTGGTTGTGCTCGACGTAACAGGTACGGAGAACATCTTGTGGGGGAAATCCTTCTAACTTGCCACCAGCGATACTCTTCATGAGAGTTGACTTTCCGGCTCCATTGCGCCCACAAAGACCGTATCTGTGCCCCTTCAAGAGTCGCAGGTTGGTGTGAGACAAGAGAAGCATACCGCCATACGCAAGTGAGAAGTCTGCGTTGACAATCTCAATTTCGCCGTCATCTTCCTTCTCAGGGACTCCATATTTGCGCTCATCTTCTGCGAGATAGTATTGATGAACCGCAGAAGCAATAGCGTCGCTAGCCCCGGATTTGTGTACCAAGTCCTTGAGGTAAGGCGAGATTCTATCCGGGATTCTACTAATTTGTCGATGATTCGCATCCTCGGCGACCATCTCACAGATGTAAGGGCGGGCCTGCTTGTAAAAGTCCAGGTCACCCGCTAGACCGCCGTTGTTCTTGATTTCCGCATCAAGGACCTTGGCGACATCATCGGCAGATGTCTTTTCTACAACAGCCTGATCGTTGCCCATAGCCTTGTCCATAACATCCAAGGCTCTCGTGGCTAATTCACGAACCTCGGGTAGAGGGGCACGCTGGCCAACGTTTTTTATACCGGGCTGAAGCTTTGGCAAGAATGTACGAGCCTCGATGGGATCGTGAACCAGCTTTGTCAAGTTCTCGGTGATGACAACAGACTGCCGCAGCACCTCCTGAGTTGTACTAGGGTTGTTGAGAGTTCGTTCCAGGAAGGGGGTAAGGAGAGCGAGGACAGGAGATGTCACAACCGCGACGAATGTCGTTTGGGAGAGGGCGTGGATAGCCTTCTGCAGAGTCTGGGTCGAGGGATGGTGTAGAGTGTCGATGAGAAGGGGAATTCTTGGGGCGACATCGTCATTGGAAAGCAGGGTAGTAAGCGACTGCATGGTAACAACCGCTTGCTTCTCTACCTCGGCCTTCAGGTCATGCATGTTGTCTTCGACAATGGGAATCAACTTGGCCAACTTCTCACCCATGGCCTCTCGGAGAATATCCGCTTCCTGAGCCTGCTCCTTGCTGAAGCCGATCTCCATCTTTGCTTTGTCAGCCATCCTCTGCATCAGCTTCAAAGCACCGATGGTGCCCTGCCACTTGCCAGACTTCTTGGAGAGGTAGGCGACGAGAGCCGGCAACAAACCAGCAACCATGGCCTCAGAGCTCAGGTGGCCGAACAAGGCATCAAGTCCGTATTGTGCAGCGTCGCGAACAACCGTGCCCTTATCCGCCAGGGCATCGAGGGCACAGGCGACCATACCACCATCCTGCAGCAGAAACACGACTTCGCTCAGGGGCTGTCTGGATGGGAACTTCTCGAACAGGGCACCCAAAAGGTTCTGGGCGCCCTCGCGTCGCAGGCCGCTCTTCTTGTCGGCAGCAGCCTTCTTGATCTCGGCAAGGACACCGTATTGTTGGAGACCCCGGAAGCCGACCGAGTTGAGTAGGAGTTCGCAGAGGGCATAGCTGGCATCGACAGAGGCAGACGAGGTTTTGGCAGTGAAGATGGTATTGACGACAGCGGACACGTCGTCTTGCGACGGCGGAGGGCCGTCACCGGATTTGGTGATCATTATCGGAGGCGTTACTGGGTGAGGCATCGTGGCTGATCAGGCAGTCTGGTAAGCGGGAAGCGGGAAGTGGAACAACAAATCAAGTAGAAATCAAATGATGAGGTCCAAGTAATACCTGGGACGACCTCAAGATGGAAGGAGGCGATGACGAGCAAGCACTGGCAGTGGTGGAAGAAACCAGTAAATCGCCCCAAACGCCCTCGACTTGGGCGGTGATGAAGAAAAAGGCAGCAAACGTCAAGTTCTCGATGGGCCAAAATCTAAAATCGGGGTCAGAAAAGCCAGATGGTTAAATTTTCCCCTTATCGAGAATCTGACCCCTCGAATTTTTTTCTTTATCAATGCGTTCCAGTGTGGATCCACCAGGTAGATAACGCTTGTTGCGTCCTGTGGTACATCAATACACTACCAAGAGTGGAACCACAATACATAGCCACTTACATAAGGTGAGGTCAATAGGTACATGGTATTGGGGTATCGATTAACTTAATTAGTTTGTGTGTACCACCAACCTTGAGGTCCCTAGGTACATATGTAGGTAGGCAGGTACTTAACTCCTTTCCT